GTCAACCTTTTTTTTAGGTGGATCTCTTCGATAAGTGACACAATGCTTTTGAATGATACTTTTGCAACTTTTGGTGTGGTATGACATGTCTAGACGAAACCAAGCTGATACACCAATGTCACTAATTACCCAAGAGTCAAACTAAACTTGGGCAATAATTTATTTCCTATTTTTGTCATTTATTTAAGTGCTGTCAACATTTATTTATATTTTATGGTAAGTTATTTTATTTCATACATATTTTGATTGAAATGAGTAGAACTAATTCCAATCTTGATGATCTTCATTCTTTTTCTGAATAATTTAAAACTCGACTGAAATAAAACTAAGATTATGTTTAACTTATTTTGTATTAATTTTTGAAGATAAATCTCGAAGTATTTGTGTTTCCGACATTCTATGAATAATGAGTATTTTTTTATTTTTGAATATATAATCAATGAGAATAAAAGTTGATTAATGAGCATTGAATGATTAAAACAAGGTGGAGACATTCAAGACTGACCTCATGTCATGTGTGTGAATTATCGAGTGCACATTCATCTGAGAATCATGGTCACTGTGGAAATGGCTTAACTATAGTTCTCTCTTTTTATTATTGTCTTATTTCTCTCTCTCTCTCATGAGATCCCTTCTTCTCTCTTTATCTCTCATGAGATCTCTCTCTCTCCCTCTCTCTCTCTCTCTCTTGATCGATTTCCATCTCTTTCTCTCTTTCTAAATTGATCAATCTCTCTCCTTCTCTTTCTCTCCTTTTGCTATTCACTTTCTTTATTCTTCTCATCTCTCACTTTTCTTTTACTATTTTCATTAAATAGTGACAAAATATTAAAATCACTCTATATATAAACTAAATTAACTTTTCACGATGACTTAATCAAATTTTTTATATTCAACTTGAGACTTACATCTATATTAATATTTTATTAAGTCTTAGTTATAAAGATTATTAGATAATGGACATTTAAACACAATGACAAGTACACATAGTGTCATTTTAAGAATTAAATAATCGAATCACTACTCTTCAATTGAATCAACTCTTTCTCACCAAGAGGGTCTTAAGAAAAAGCAAATATAATAAGAAAAAAAACTCATTCGTTCAAAATAAAATGTAATACATAATGGAAGAACCAAAAACATAAAAGATGCCTTATGCATGTCATTTAGAGTACTCAAACAGATCCTTCTTCGGAGTTCCTAAATTGCCTCAAGTGAAGTTCATGGAGATCTCATTTTCTCCCTCTTAGGTACCCCTCTCTTATGAACTGAATGCCCTTCTCTCTCCTCCAGGTGGCTTTTTAGTCTTCCCTTCGTCGTGCCCATTCTCAGCCCTTGGATCATGGGGGAGAGTTCACACCCTCTTGGATTATATTTCTCTCTCCAATTATAGACCAAGAAAGGTTGACAGTGCCTAGGTTGTCCTCTCACCTTCCCTCACACTAAGACTTATCTCAGCCCTTGGATTTGGCTGATTGAGGGGTTGAGATAGTCCCAAAGTTTGTCTAATGAGAGAGAGGGGTGTACCTGATCAAATGGTGCCACATACCCCTCCCTTTAATTGAGGAAGAAATAAACCACCCACCTTAAGTGGGCAATTTCCTTAATTTGAGGGGAAGGAAAATGCTTCCTTATTAGGCCTCCTCCTTAAATAACATGGGCTGTCCATTTGGCCCATGAGCCTGGTATAACCTGAAACAGAAAACTAAAATAAAGCCCATTACCTCTTAAATAAATAAATATAATAAATTAGACATAAAGGGGAAATTAACATGGTAAATCTAGACTCATTTCTACATGAGTTGACTTAGCGCTTAGGAGATACATAATAAATCTTAAAAATCATATGGATTATGTTCTGTAATTTAAATATTCTTGAGTCAAAGCACTAATATTAATACGAATTTCATATAAATTCTGATAAAAAACATTTTAAATATTTATTTAAACTCAAAATAAATCCTAGAATACTAAAAAAATCCAAAAAATCTCAAAAAAATCAGGAAAAATACTTGACATAAATTTTGATCATTATAAAAATTTTAAGTCATAATTTAGATATCAAATAATATTTTTTATAATAATCATTCAAGTGAAGTATATAAATAAATAAATACACATGTTATAGAAAACGTGGAAAATTCATGAAATTAAGCATGTATTTAGAACATTCATCATAAATTGTGCTTCACTTATTTTATGCATATTTAAAATTTCATTTTGTATGTAATTAAGCATTAATTCTCTAAATTATGTCATACATTACATGCAAAATTTGCATGTTATTAAGGCACAATCAAGAGAACCACGAACTAAGGCTCAAGTGGTTAAGGACTGATCAAGGCACATGTGTGTCACTCCCCTTCCCCGTCAACATTATTCATGGATCATCATTAGCAATTGATTTGACAAACACACTGTCGTTGAGTACAAAAATTATGAATTCTTCAAGGAAATGATCTTCAGTTGATCGACAAACATGTCCTCATCAAGAACATGGCAATCCACTGAGATGAGAGTCATCTTCTCCTTTAAGCATTCCAAATGCAACAAAAAGCCTCCTTTTACTATACAAACTTGAGGATGAAGTTTTTTGAGATGTGCTTCACTACTGCCCAATTCATCTCCGCCAAGTGATAGCTACTGAAGATTTAAATACTACCAAACTTCTACTCTGTTGGATGACAATCGTTGGAGATGATTGTTGATCTATTTCATTAATTTCTATGCTTCCAAAGAAGATCTAAAGAATGTCTACATTGTGAATGCCTAAGGAAATCATTTGATGTTGTGGACATCGTATAATAATCCTCTTAAACCTAAGCCCAATATAAGTGCTCAGGACAATTTTAGGGCCCAGCTAAAGGGTTCCACCCTTGAGCCCGCTAGACTGAGCCTGACCTAAGAGTGGAGAGAGAGAAAGAGAGATAGAGAGAGAGAGAGAGGAAATCTTGAACCACTTTATTTTCTATTTTTTAATTTTAAATTGGTGAGGGAGTTGAGATATTGAAGCGGGATTCCCAAAGGTAGCGAGGCTCTCTCTCTCTCTCTCTCTCTCTCTCTCTCTCTCTCTCTCTCGCCGCCATCCTCAGGTATCTGAGCTACCTAATGTCGTACGCGGCCGTCCTCATGTGTGAACGGCAATGGTTTAGCAGTAGCGCACGCCACCAGACTGGCAACTCAAAAAGCATCTAATAGCAACAGCAGCCATTTACACACAGAGGATTGGTTGGTTGACTGTCCACAATGTTTGACTAACTCTGTATATCTCTCTTTATCTCTAAACCAATCCTATAAATGGTTTACGTTGGCGCCACACGAATGGATCCAGGAAGGGTGCTCTCCACACTCCTCACCGTCTCCCCTTCCTCACAGCCATCAGCATCGTCCCAAAGCTCACCTTCTCTCTCTCTCTCTCTCTCTCTCTCTCTCCGTCTCTCTGTAACTCAGTTCTCAATACTAAAATTTTCAGACAGCAATGAATTATTCCTGACAAATTCCTACAAACTACGTTATAAGTATTTTTAAGCCATTTTTTTAGTGCTACAATTATAAATACATTTTAATTTGAACGCTCTGAATTTCTACATCTCTTCAGCTACACAAAGGAACGGAGAAAGAGAGAGAGAGAGGATAACGGTCTTCAGTTAGCACGAGCTTTATCGGTGTCATTGCCCTAAGTAGGGATAAGGTATATCTCCATGGTCAAAAAAATAATTCTGCCTACTCTTATTAAGGAAAGAACAGTGATGCTCTCTAGAAACATCTACACCAGTCCTGGCATTATCTTTCCACAGTTATTATTTTATTCATCATCTTCTCTCTCTTGTGACATTTCCTTAGGATCATGTTTTATCTAATAATTCAAGTTTTAGCTAGCATAGCATATTCTCTCTATCATCTCTCTCTTGCCTCCATCCCGTGTATGTGGGCCAAATGCGGCCAGCGCGTGCTGGCCACACACCGACCAGCTTTAGGTGCCACGTCAGCAGCATCCGACGGAATCAACAGCCGTTCACACTTTGCCGCCACCGAAACCCGGATCTGTTTCCCAGTTGGAAACCCTAACCATCCTGCTCCTTTGGCCGTATGTCGTCTGATATTCGGCACGCTTCTATTTTCGCCCACACGGCAGGTATGGTGCGTAATGATGGGCAGCTCATGGGACGAGCCAACCAATGGCCTCTGTGATTCACGTCCCTGATCGTGGCTTATGCTCAGATGTCTGTGAAATTTTCTCACTAACACGCCGCTAGTTTCTGCTAGCTGATTTGCACGGAATAACCTCATTTCTTCACGTTTGGTGCTTATAAAATAGAAGCACCACGCTCCTCCCTTTCTTCCGTCTCCCCGCTGCCATCACCATTCAGCCTCTCTCTCTCTCTCTTCCTGCTTGTCTCACAGTAGACCATCGCCATGACGTCGAAGATGATAGCCAGCTCCGCTGAGCCATCCAAGAACAAGTCCCAGGAGGCTGACCCGGAGAGAGGCGACTCTCTCTCCTTTCCGAGCGAACTCACTGTTCGCCGCCGTCTTCACGGCGAACAACGGGCTTGTCTCCATCGCCTCCCTCATGGTTGGCGTCGGCGTTGTGAACCAGACCGCTAAGGTGATGGCTGTCTCGGGCCTGATCGCGCTGGTGACCGACACCTGCAGCAAGGCTGCTAGTGAGTTTGTCTCCGTCTACGCTCAGTATGACATCATGTATGAACGGGAGCCTTGCACGTGCCCCCCCCTGTTCGCATAACGGCATGGTGCGGTTATGCGAGAAGTACACGTCAGAGCACGTTGTGCGGTAATGCAGAATTTTCGCCAGTTAGTTATTTCTTACGTTATTTCGCCTGGACTGTAAGAGTTTTTTTAAAAGTAAGTGAGAAAGTTTTCCTTGTTCCTCCGGCGAGTTTCTGACAAGTGGTATCAGAGCTCCCAGGTTGCGGGCCGGGACTCGATCGCGGCAAGGTACAGCCGTTGGAATCGAGAACGCGCAATCGAGACGCGCTATGGCAGGAGGAAAGGACGGCGTGGTCCAGAGGGTGATTCGTGAGGTGAGCGCCGGGACCGGGTTCCTAATGCTCACCAAGACCAACTACTCCGACTGGGCGCTGCTCATGAAGGTCAAGCTCAGAGCCCGGTTGCTCTGGACCGCCATTGAGAAAGGGGGCGTCGAACCCCATGAAGACATGCAGGCGCTCGACGCGCTCTGCAGCGCCGTGCCGGCGGAAATGTGGCCGGTGATCGCGGACAAGGAGACGGCCAAGGAGGCCTGGGAGGCTATCGCCACCCTGAGGATCGGCAATGACCGCGTAAAGAAGACGTCGGCTCAGAACTTGCGGCGGCAGTTCGACTCGGCGACGTTCAAAGAGAGAAAGTTTTCCTTGTTCCTCCTGCTGTGTTTTTCCTGTGACTCGGTGGTGATCTCGCCGGCGACGTCTTAACTGCCGTCGTCTCTCCGGCGAGTTTCTGACAAGTGTTATCAGACTTGTTGTCCACGCAGACAAAACGTGGTGGAGTCGCAGCAAAACGTGGTGGAGTGGAGGTTGGTGGCGGCGCCGTCGATATGGCCGTCGTTGACTTCACGAGAAGGAGCGAGGCCTCCTCCTCATCCTGGACGACGTGGGCCTGCTCTTTCTTGGGCTTGGAGCGGCACTCGCGGGCCCAGTGGCCCAGCTTCCCGCATCTCCTGCACTCATCACCGCTGGGCCGGCCTGAGTTGCCCGTCAGGCCGCCTGATGACGAGCCCTTGTCGCTGCCACGGCCGCGCCCGCGCCCGCGCCCATGTCCGCCACGGTGCGTCACGCTGCTGCTACCTCCACCACCAGTTTTCTCAGCATCACGCTTCCTCCGCCGTGCGTCCCACTCTTCCTCGGTCAGGTACAGCTTGCCGTCGTGGTGCATAGCCGACGGCGGTTTCTCGAAGGCATCCTCCGCCGCCTTGAGCCGACCCGTCAAATCCGCGACGGTGAGCGTCGACACGTCGAGCAGCATCGTGATCGCGACCACGATCTGCCTGAAACGCTGGGGAACACTGCGGATTATCTTCTCCACTACCTGCGTCTCTTCGACCTTGTCGCCGAGGAGGGAGAGTCTGTTGAGGACTACGCGCTGCGTCTCAACAGCATGGCGTCGACTCTCACCACCCTCGGCGACAAGGTCGAAGAGACGCAGGTAGTGGAGAAGATAATCCGCAGTGTTCCCCAGCGTTTCAGACAGATCATGGTCGCGATCACGATGCTGCTCGACGTGTCGACGCTCACCGTCGCGGATTTGACGGGTCGACTCAAGGCGGCGGAGGATGCCTTCGAGAAACCGCCGTCGGCTATGCACCACGACGGCAAGCTGTACCTGACCGAGGAAGAGTGGGACGCACGGCGGAGGAAGCGTGATGCTGAGAAAACTGGTGGTGGAGGTAGCAGCAGCGTGACGCACCGTGGCGGACATGGGCCGGGGCGCGGGCGCGGCCGTGGCAGCGACAAGGGCTCGTCATCAGGCGGCCTGACGGGCAACTCAGGCCGGCCCAGCGGTGATGAGTGCAGGAGATGCGGGAAGCTGGGCCACTGGGCCCGCGAGTGCCGCTCTAAGCCCAAGAAAGAGCAGGCCCACGTCGTCCAGGATGAGGAGGAGGCCTCGCTCCTTCTCGTGAAGTCAACGACGGCCATATCGACGGCGCCGCCACCAACCTCCACTCCACCCCGTTTTGCTGCGACTCCGCAGGCAGAGGATCGGCTCCGGCGTGCAAGCCCACCGCCGCCGGGAGCAAAATGGGTCCCCGTCAATGGAGGGGCCGCCAAAGAAGAGAAGAAGCCAGGCGCCCAGACCCAGATCCATCTGCGGGAAGAGAAGGTGTTCGCCCACCTTGAAGAGGAGGAGCTGCGTGATGAGGAGGCGTGGGTCGTGGACACGGGCGCCACGAACCACATGTCGGGTTCCCGTACGGCTTTCACCGAGCTGGACACGGCGGTGCTTGGGACGGTGCGGTTCGGCGACGACTCGGTGGCGCGGATCGAAGGCCGGGGGGCAATCGTGTTCCTGTGCAAGAACGGCGAGCACCGGTCCTTCGCGGGGGTGTATTACATTCCCCGACTGACGACGAACATCGTCAGCGTCGGCCAACTCGATGAGGCCGGGTACCATATCGACATCGAGAAGGGGGCGATGAAGGTCCATGAGCCAGGCGGACGGCTCCTGGCGAAGGTGATGCGCGGAGAGAACCGGCTGTACATTCTCCACGCCAAACTGGTTCGGCCGGTGTGCCTAGTGGCGCGGGGAGTCGAAGAAAGTTGGAAATGGCACGCGCCCCTCGGCCATGTCAACATGACCGCACTGCGGAAGATGGCTCGGGAGGAGCTGGTGCGCGGGTTGCCGGCAGTTGGTCAGGTGGACCAGCTGTGTGAGGCGTGTCTCGCTGGCAAGCAGAAGCGGTCGCCGTTCCCCGAGCAGGGAGAGTACCGGGTGTTCTGGAGCTGGTGCACAGCGACCTCTGTGGTCCGATTGCGCCGGAAACGCCAAACGGCAGCAAGTACTTCCTGCTGCTCGTGGATGATCGAAGCCGGTACATGTGGGTGGCCATGCTGCCTTCAAAGGACCGTGCTGCGGTGGCCATCAAGGAGAAAGAAGTCTATTTTGTTCTTGTCTTGTATTATTGTAAGACATTTATTTTCCTTTTAATTGTGCTATTTATAGCTCATAGGAATGGTATTTATCTAAAAACTCTTGTATATAAAAGGTATTCATAGAAGGTATTCATCGTCAACACACGGCGCCATACAGCCCGCAGCAGAATGGCATCGTCGAGCGCAGGAACGGCACGGTGGTAGCAACCGCGAGGAGCATGCTCAAGGCAAAGGGGCTGCCGGGCTGGTTTTGGGGTGAGGCAGTGACAACTGCTGTATACATCCTGAACCGGTGTCCGACGAAGAGCGTGGACGACATGACGCCTTTCGAGGTATGGCACGGGAAGAAGCCGGCGGTGCACCATCTGAAGGTGTTCGGATGCATCGCCTACGTCCTGAACACGACACCGCATCTCAAGAAGCAGCTGGAGGACCGCGGCCGCAAGATGATCTTCATCGGCTACGAGTGCGGATCAAAGGCCTACCGTGCCTACGATCCCACCACGAGGCGTGTCCATGTGACACGGGACGTGGTGTTCGACGAAAATGCCCAGTGGGACTGGGGCAGCGGCGCGGAGCAAGGGAATGCGGGCAGCCACGACGACATGTTCACATTGGAGTATGCCGTCGGGAACCAGGTACCTCCGGAGCTCGATGGCGCCATCGAGGTACTTGATGATGATGCGCCGGGACCGGAGCTGATGTCGCCGCCGTCCGTGCACTCCAGTGGGAGAGCGGTGCCGATTGAAGATGGAGGAGAGGAGGTGGAGTTCGCCACTCCACCCAATGTCCACATCGACCACCTGGATGCTAATCACGATGATGTGCCACTCCGGTTCCGCAAGATTGACGACATCGTTGGGCTGGCCTCGCCGCGTGGTCTCGCGTCGCGGGCGTTAATTGCAGAGGAGCGGCCACCCGAGCTGGAGGAAGGCTATGGAGGAGGAGATGGCGTCGATCGAGGAGAACCGCATCTGGTCCCTGGTTGACCTCCCACATAGTCGCCGGGCGATCAGGTTGAAATGGGTGTACAAGGTGAAGCGGGATGAAAATGGAGCCGTGGCGAAGTACAAGGCGTGCCTGGTGGTGAAGGGCTATGTGCAACGCCAGGGGATCGACTACGACGAGGTGTTCGCACATGTGGTGCAGCTGGACACAGTGCGCCTTCTCATCGCTCTCGCGGCGCACAAGGGGTGGGAGGTGCACCACATGGATGTCAAGTCGGCGTTCTTGAATGACAATCTCAAGGAGGAGGTGTACGTAGAGCAGCCGGCCGGTTTCATCAGCACAGACAATGAGCACAAGGTGTTCAAGCTGAAGAAGGCACTCTATGGCTTGCATCAGGCGCCTAGGGCCTGGAACACAAAGCTGGACGACACACTGTTGTCGTTCAGATTCAGGAGGAGTCCCTCGGAGCACACTATCTACACCAAGCAGAATGGGGAGGCGCAGCGGGTGGTTGGGGTGTATGTCGATGACCTGGTGATCATCGGCGCCAGCTGCGACGACATCAAGTAGTTCAAAAAGGAGATGGTTGACGCATTCAGGATGAGCGACTTGCTTCGCTACTATCTCGGCATTGAAGTCAGGTAGAGCGCGGGGGGCACCTCGATCAGTCAAGGAGCCTACACCGCCAAGATTATGGAGAGGAGCGGCATGGCAGGGTGCAATCCCTGTCAAGTACCAATGGCAATGCATCTAAAACTAAGCAAGAGGAGCACGGAGCCGCTGGTGGATGTAACAACATACAGAAGCATCGTGGGGAGGGGAGTCTCAGGTACTTGGTCAATATTCGTCCAAACCTGGCATTTGTTGTTGGCTATGTGAGTTGTTTTCTAGAGGAGCCACGAAAGGATCACTTGGCCGCTGTGAAACAAATTCTCCGTTATATGGTAGGAACCAAGAGCTAGGATCTCATGTATGAAAGAAAGAAGGAAGAGCATGTCCAGCTGATAGGGTTCAACGATAGTGACTTCGTTGGTGATGTTGATGCTCGGAAGAACACAACTAGAGTCATTTTCTTTTTGGCCAACAGCCTAATTACTTGACAGTCGATGAAACAGAAGGTGGTGGCTCAGTCTAGCTGCAAGGCAGAGTACAGTGCGGCTGCTAATACTGCCTGCCAAGCTGTGTGGCTCACTCGGGTGTTAGCAGAGGTATATGGCTCAGCATCAAGCGTGCTGATGCTGAGGGTGGACAACAAGTCTGCCATTGCGTTGATCAAGAACCCGGTTCTTCATGGACATAGTAAGCACATTGAAGTGAAGTATCATCTTATTCGGGAATCCGCAGAAAAGGGCCAAATCAACGTAGAGTTCATCAGGAGTGAAGAACAGTTAGGAGACGTTCTGACGAAACCACTCGAAAAAGTTAAGTTCCATACATTTCACACCAAGATTTTTCTGCATGACGCGCATTACTGGCCAGTTAATTATTTCTTACGGTTATTTCTTTCTCCCTTTATTTTCTTATTTAAAAGGACTGTAAGAATTTTTTTAAAAGAAAGTGAGAAAGTTTTCATTGTTCCTCCTACTGTGTTTTTCCTGTGACTCGGTGGTGATCTCGCCGGCGACGTCTTAACTGCCATCGTCTCTCCCGCGAGTTTCTGACATCATGAAGGCCGAGAAGGAGCGGAGGGCCACCGAGTCACCTGTGGCCGGCGAGGAAGAGGAAACCCTGCCGAGCCCGCTGAAGGCGGCGGGAGCCTCCGCCCTCGCCTTTACCCTCGGCGGCGTCCCACCGCTGCTGGCCGGTGGCTTCGTCTGGTCTTGGGCCGCCAGGGTTGGAGTGGTCTGCGGGGTGACCACCGTTGGCCTGGCCGGGCTCGGCACCGCCGGTGGTTTACTCGGCGCTGTCGCCGCAGGAAAATCCGCCGTCAGGTTGGTGATCGTGGGGTGGGTTCCCATGCTGGTCACCTACGGCATTTTTACATTCTTCCGGATGCAAGTCTTCCCCGCCGCCTAGTTATCGTCGTCATTAATTTTCCATGTACTTGCTTCCGCTCGGCACTGTTGGATCACCGAATCGAAGCGATTGTATGTTCTTGAGGAACATCCCTCTTCATTGACATGCTTACGAAGCTCGCAACGTTACTCCAACTCGAGGATCTCTCATCAAATCTATGAGTTCTCTCAAACCCATTGTTAATTACTTGCTCGACGACACAACCCTTTAAGCGGCCAGATTTTAACATCTAGAAGTATTCGTCGAAAAATATATGCAGGCACTGCACCGTCCATTGTTCTCGGGCGTCGTCCCCCTGAGAATCTCACGTTCCTTCTTCCGCGTTCGTCGCGATTTTCGCTTTGCATTTATTACTCGTTCGTCCGCTCCTCTCCGTCGCAATTCTCTTCTTCCGTCTACTCCTCGTTCGTCGGTTGATTTCCGTCGTGACTTCTCGTTCACTACTGATCATAATCTTCCGACTCTTTTACCTCGTTCGTCTGTTGTCCTCCGTAGCGATTTCTCTTCCGGCTATCCATTGTTTTCCGGTATTTTACGTTGCGAAATTTTCTTCCGTTTCTTCCTCTTTTTTCCTTTGGATTCCTCGTCGTCGCGAGCGTACCGTCCGATACTACTCTTTCGTGCTTGATTTTCCTTCCCCTTCTTTCGTCAAAGGAGAGAGAAGAGAAGGTGAAAAGTTGTCGATCATCCATAAGAAACTATCAGAGGGTCAAAAGAGAATATTATCGAGATAATTCGTTGGAAAATAAAAGAGAATAATTCGGCGTAGTCTCCAGAAATATTTTCGGAAACTTAATGGTTCGAGAAAGGGTCTGAACTTAAATGGGGAAATGGCAGCTCGTTTAAGTAAGATTTCAGATCGTGTTTTAAAGAGATCTGTTTACCCTCTTAACAGGATCCGAAATCCTTTTATCTCGGCTACAAAAATCATATCCATTATTATAAAAACTGGATCCATTACTCCTTTTAAATAAGGCCCAATATACAAATCAATTTCGCCTTAAAATTTAGGCCTAATAACTAAACGAATTTGACCTTAAATTTAGGCCCAAAAATATATTGAATTCACCTTAAATTCAGGTCCCCAAAAATATCAATTTAAACTTAAATTCAGGTCAAGTAATTAAATCAATTTCACTCGTTTTAGACTGAAATAAATCATGATAACAGACATTAATATTCCACATGATCTACGAAAGATGTATTTTCCAAAAAAAAAATATCAAATATGTAAAAAAATTCCATGTATTGGTAAAAAATTGACGAAATAAATCTTACAAAAAGTTTTAAAGGTAGACTTTGCTGCTGTCTTTTATTTTGATATTACAAGTGAAAAATTATTTATTGAATATTGAGAGTGATTTATGTTGGATTTTGGCCTGCATTAGGATCAAGAATAGGGAGTTAAATTAATCTACTCTTTTTTTATTTCATTTCTAAATATTCTCTCTTAGAACTTCACTCTTCTCTTAGGATATGTGGATTCTCTAGTTTACTTAGAACGCACTATATTTTTATAATAGTTCGGCCAACTGCCTGCATTCACTTTTCAAGAACAAAATCTTTCTTGGGTTCAACTACATGTGATTATCCAAACACAATTCATGGTTAACAGGCTCAGCTCCCTTGAAGATTCACCCAAAATCTATATTCTAAATTTATGAATTTAAGATGCCACATTGCTATTTCACCAAGGCAACTCCCTCTAAGAATAAAATCATTATTGGGTTCCACTAGTGATTATCTAAGCTCAATTACTAATGAATGACCTCAAAATTTTCTTTCTAGATTTACAACTTCAGGATATGACATTGATGTTTTGCCAAACAACTCCCATAAATTTCTCTATTAAATTTCTTTCTAGATTCATAACTCTAGGAGGCTACATTGTTGTTAATAAGGACAGCTCCCAATCGTAATAAATAGAGTTTAGTATCACATTTATCTTATAAAAAATAATAAATATGTCACCATGATATGATTTTTGAAAGATGGCGTTGACTTGGAATGCATATAGAATTTTGATAAAGAGGATGATGATCAAGAAAATATCTTATATCCTCTTCTCGTAAAAATATGTTAGCTAAAGATAGAAGGCGTTGTCTTTTTTAATCAATTGAAGATGGTCACTAAATCGTTGAGTAGTGCTCCTCAACTTAGTGACTTCATGTAGTTTGACTAATCAGTAAATATCTTCTAATTTTCCTCATATACTTCTATATAAAAACTCAATATAACTCTTAAGGTTGTTGAGGAGTTAAAGATGGTTGTTCAGCTCTAATTAGCCATTGAAAAGTTAGTATATTTATAGATAAAGTAATTTTAAAATCTGCTCTTATTTTCCATTATCTCACAAAAATAATATTTTCAAAAATAGTTAGAAATTCGAATAGTTGAAAAACCAATACAGTATGTCCTTTAAAATTTTAAATATCTTTAAGTGACACCAATACATGGTTCTTTTAAAATACAATATAAATATCCAAATATTATTGGTTCAATTAAATATCAGTAAGAACTTAATATCGTTAAAACAAGGCCAACAATATATATCTTGATAAATTATGATTTGGTAATCAAATCTTATTTGAATCACCTCAAATAAAATACAATGATCGAGTTAACATCTTGAATCATGATCTCAATATTTATAATCATGATGTCACTTATTCAAGATATTTCAAGTAAATTTTTAAGTTATATTCTTTAACTTATAAAAAATTATGTTCTACTGAATAAGTAATCAGAATTCAAATATCAAAAGTAAGATCAATTGTAAATTTGTACATATCTCTAAACAAAAGCTTTGAAGTTCATTTGTGAGAGGTTTTCATATTTCGAAGTAAATGAAACTCAAGATCAGCCTCTCATATTCTATACAATAACACATAATTAGAGTGCATGAATTAAGTGACAGATTCAACAACAATATTCAAGCTCGACGCTAAAGACATATATGTTCATTAATCAGTTGAGTATATCCATATTCCATATTAAGGAAAGCATATCTACGAGTTGAAAGATCTGAACAAAAGTAATAATCGAAGGTCAAAAGCCAAAATTCTAGACAATAACTCATTAATAAAAGATGTAGATTGAAGATAAGCCAAATAATCTCCTCTAAAGAAAACCCTAAAAAAATACATAGTTATCAATCAAGTATGAATATCTAGACAAGACATCATGAATAACTATCACTAAACAAGAAAACCTAGAAATGAAATTAGGTGAAGGTCACTAGAGTGTTGGCGTAGCAATGGAAAGATATTCAAATTCATATGACCATTTATAGATGCTAAAGTAACATGAATCCATTGGAAAATAAGTAAAAAGAGTTGAGAACAAATGAAACCAATGTTAAATAAGGAAATCTTCATCCGCATTATTCACAAAATCAAGAGAAGAAATACTACTCAATCCACTATGATAATGCAGCCATGCATTTTAAACAAGGAATTAAAATATCATCATTTTCGATCATCTACGGCAATGTATGAATCAATCAACTACACTGAAGGTTATCTTTCTCTATCATGCCTTAACATAATTAAGGC